TGTTTTTGATATTTCATTCATTCAATAGTTCAATATATATATTTACCACATTTAATAAACTCGTTTTTGATAAGATAACAAAGATCAAATATCAATAACTTATTCCTGCTGTAGATGTTGTAGATGTCAGTGTGTGGAGTTATGGATGGATATTTAAAATAAACACAGATCTATATATACAATTTTCAGATATGTTATTCTGAAATAGAATTACATGATTATTGATTCTACCGAATAATGGGATTATGCATTCTAACTGTAGAAGCCTTATAACCTGGTGGAAGAAATAATATGATAAATAAGACTATACTACACCCCAGAATTTCCACATACTTTACATCATATGGCAGAAATCCTACAACTAAAAACACTGAAACTATATGGAAGACCAAATACTGCCAAAGAGAAGACAAAAATATAAACAATAGCCACATTTTTTCCAGTTTCCAAATGTTGCTCTTCCTAAAACCATCTAAATTTTTGTCTAAACACATGTAAGTTGTTAAAAGTTATTGTATCATGAGTGCAAGAGTTGCAACAGCTCTGCCTATAATAGAAAGTTGCCATAGATACTTACTTTAATAATGTCTTCAGAAACATTAGTCAAGCCATGAGACTGATTTCCTATTTATTTGAGTAGATAGTTGATTTCCTATTAGATAAGAAAACAGATCCTGAAACCAGGTTGTTGGGAGCAAATCCTGGTGTCATCATTTCTTCATGTGGTGTTCCATTTCCTGATCTGTAAAATAAAAATAATAATTGTGTCTCTCTTGTATGATTATTGTGAAGATTAGATTAATTGATATATGTAAAGTCCTTAAAATAGTGCTTGGTACATGGCAAACACATGTGTTTGGTTGTTATTACTATTTTCAATAAGTAGTTTTTAACTGCCCACAGACATTGTAAATTATTTTCTAGTGAGTAATTAATTTGTATGCAATATAGGGGAAAGAGAGAGAAATACATAATGGTCATCAGACATTGATAGAGTCACACCCTTTCCACAAGAGATTTCAGATGAAAAATGTGCATTCTGGTCAGGCATCGTGGTTTACACTTATAATCCCAGCACTTTGGTAAGGCCAAGGTGAGAGGATTGCTTGAGCCCAGGAGTTTGAGATTAGGCTAGGAAACATAGTGAGACTTCATTTCTACAAACAATTTTTAAAATGTCCATTCTTTGCCAATAATATTTCATAAGCTTCAGGATGGCTACATAATCATGTTTAAACAGACAAAATAAATGTATCTAAACTGGATGCCTCTCAGGATTTCAAAAAAAATGCTGGATGATTTCAGATTTAATAAATGAGGTCTTTTTCAGTTTTAGCAACTTTTGGTAAAAAGCTCAAAGGATATTCCAAATTTTCTAATTAACTTTTGACATATCCAGTGAAGTGATAGGCAATTACTATTTTTGTGTTTTAAATATATATCATCTAGAGTTATTTAGTAGGCTGGCTGAGACTATACATGATTACAAATGCAAAAACACCTAGGCTGTCATTCAGTCTTCTTGGTCTTTTAATATTTATGATAATTTTTAATGAAGAATAAACAATTATTAAGATTTGTACATTAATGAAAAAAATCTGTTAAAAAGAAATACATGTAATTTAATGACTTCCATAATGTTACTGTTTGATCTAACAAAAAATAAACATTACTGAGCATGTCGTGACAATGGACAGAACTCAGGAGTAAGGAAGAAAGAGTCTTCAATTCTGTACTGGTTCTTTTACTAACCAGCTGCGGCTTTCTGTGTGTCACTGCCTGTCCTTGTCCTCAAGTAATATGAAAGGTTTGGTCTAGAGAACAGAACTTGGAGTTGAAGGATACTTGAGTACAACTCTTCTAAGCATGAAGTTCTCCTTGTAGGTGACCAGTGGTAGAAAACTCATTGTATCATAAAGTTCTTGAGTTGTCTGCAGATATTTCTAACTATTGAAAAGTAATTCATTAGCCAAATTTTGGGTCTTCCTGTGAACTCTAAGTTCCCCAGCATTTCAAATAGCCTAGAATTTTAACTGTGGAATACAATGGAGCCCCACAGCAACAAACTTTCTAAATGATGAAAGAGAACTTTAAATAAAAGCAGAGGAGTACTGTTCCTCTCCACTCTCCTTCATGTATACCATTATTAGGCTGGAGTGAGAATAGCAAGGGGTGAAAGGAATTTATTATTGTCCCTATACCTTCAATTTGACCAAGTCTCCTACCAAGTAACAACTTTCTGACAGAGAGAAGGTTCTACCCTCTCTGTTTCAAGAGTCCATACTTACTAGATCTCTCCTGTAGTTCCTTGGAGAGGTCAGACAGAGAACAAGTTCTACTCCAAAAAGGAAAAAGTGGAAGTTGCTAGATTTAAGCCCATGACCACTGGTACAGAGAGCAGTCTTCCTCATATTGTAGTGTGAAAAATGTGCTGGTTCAGGAAACATAGTTATGAAGCTGTGAAAAGATAAGGAAAGAAAACTGAAAGTAAGAGTTTAGAAATATTGCAGCTATTGAATATTGTGGTCTGGTTGCCTTAAGCTCATGGTCTCTCTTCTCTTTGAGTTTAGACCACTTGGAGCGCTGTTGAGTGCTCACATGGTAAATCACCTGTGGTGTGATCTATTAGTCAGGTGCAGCAGAGGATCACAGCTAAGTCTGCCATGGATTAAAAATAATGAAGTCCTTCACAGCAGATAATTTGAGAAACACACCCTATAGAAACTCAATGATAGCTATAGGTTTAAAGTTGAAACTTCATTTTTTCCATATCCTTCAATTCTCTAAATGACTTAAATAGCCCCTACACTTTGCCCATTTACTGTAGATAAACAGAACATTTACTTTGTTTTGTTCTTGACTTCCATAAACAAAAAAACCTAATTCTCTAACTATTTACAGCATTAATTTTAGCAAAATTTAAATATGGTGAAAAACTTAAATGTTTTATAAATTTTTTATATGGAGGCTGATTTATTAAGTACCTACGTGAGACTGACTAGCAAACTGTCTCAGGCAATAATATGAGCCCATGAATACAAGCTATAGCTTCACATGTAGATCAAATAAGATTTAAATTATTCTCAAAAGAATTTTGGCAGTTAGACATCCACATCCCCCAAAATCAGCATGGTACAGTGGGAAGAGCATTGAATTATATTGATGGTCCCAGGTTCCAGGATTAACTCTGACTTGCTATGTGACGTTTTGAAGTCTCTAAACCTTCTGTACCAAAACTTCCTCCTCTATGAAGGCAGCAGTTTGAATGAACCAATCTCTAAAGTTTCTGACAACTTTAAAATTTTATACTTCAAAGAAAATTATTTTCCCTTAAGGCAGCTCCTGGTGGAGGAATAATTTTCCCAGCTATACATTTACTACCAAAAGATAGACTGACTTTTCTGCACTTGTATCTGTAGCTCTTTATTATAAGCTTAGCATTATCAGACTTTGCAAGACTGAAATCACACACAAAAAAATGAGGTTCTAATCCTGACCCCCAAAACATGCCTTTATCATGGAGACAGGAGCTCCAAGCTGCAGGTATCTCTGTGGTTGAGGAGGAACTCACAAGGGTCTAATCATGACAGAATGGTCTCATAAAATACCAATACCTATAAGGTACTGTTTGTTGAATTGTTATTTGTCTCACAAGACCTTTCTCAAGGGGCTTTTCAAATGCCTAACAATCCAAAATAAAGGCATCTGTCCTTCCCTAACTCATAAAGCCTATAGTATTAACCCAGTTCTTAAATAGAGTTTGGAATTGAATGAGCCCCCAGGAACACTTGAGCATGAATAACCATGGTAGAGTTCACTCTGCAGGTATTCTATTTATTGCTTATGGCCCAAAATCATGTTTTAAGCTTCTCTGCTCTCCTGAGATGATGCATACTGTGCCTGCCAAGAAATCTGTCTCGTGTGTGTGAACACCATATATCTGCATGAGAGCTGAGGTTGGCTTAAAAAATATCAGTAATTCCCGTAGTGTCTTTTATCTTTGAAATAAATAGAAGAGAGTATTGATAAAACTAAAGATAAATTCAGGACAAAAATTAGAACTATATGGAAATTACAGAGTAAAATGCAAAATGCCTTACTGTAGATACTATTCAAAAGAATGAAAAATTCATAACTAAGCAATATCAGTTAGACAGTATATTTTAACAAAGAAAGTAGATAATGAGGTAGTGTTATGCATGTACAGATGCATATGTTATATAACATATAGCCTAAGTATTAAGCTTTAGTTTACTATTGAGAATCTGTCAAAAAGCTGAAGAATATGAGAAAAGACAAACATACAGAACACTTTGAAATGAGATATGCAGTCTTCATTATCTAAATATTACTGCAATTAAAACTGTATGCACAAAAAAGTATAAAATATAGTATAAAGTGTTTCCTGATCTGAATTTTCATTTGAAAAGAGCATTTACATTCTAGGTTTTCTATAAAAGATAAGCGTGAAGGACAATTCTTCCTAGGGCTATATCAAGCAAAAGAATACTGGATCAGAGATTGAAAATTACTTACCTGTAAACAGTAAAGCAATGACCACTCAAGTTGAGTGCTTGAAAGAAAATGAAGTCCTGAAGTGAGTTAGTCACCCTGCCCCAGTGGGCCATGATGGCTTGTTCTTAAGTGGCCACAGTTCATTAGGCAAGTGCTATTATTGACACAATGTTCTTTCTTCCCTAACTGAAAGCAAAAAAACCAAAAAACAAAAACAAACCAGACCTTGAGCCAATGTCTTGTATTAGTTGGTCAAGGTCTCCATTTCCTCAATAGCTGTCTCAGTGCCTCTAAGTGCTTTCCTGTAGTGAACTGGGCTCTTCTCAGCAGCCAAACTGAAGTCCTAAGAACCATCAATCTTGTTTCCCTCACCTGCAGAGAAAGAATCTTTCCTACACTATTTCAACCATTGAGATTTTGGGTAGTTTTAGGCCATATTTTTTTCAGCCCTCTTCTGCTGGTGGGTGTGCTTTCTTTCCCTGCAGAAATCAAAGATATCCACCTATGAGAAGATGTGGGCTTTCATGAGCAGCAGGCAGCTGACCGCCCTGGTAAAAAATAGTGATGAGGGCATCCAACGAGTGCTCACCACTGACTACGCCCTGCTGATGGAGTCCACCAACATTGAATATGTGACACAGAGAAACTGCAACCTCACTCAGATCGGGGGCCTCATTGACTCCAAAGGTTATGGAGTAGGAACGCCTATTGGTAAGAGGGGCAGGCAGTAGCCAAAACTGAGATGGGGACTGTTAATTACAAGTGTGGAAGGAAATGGACTCTGAACTGTCTGTTCCAAATTCTGTGTAGACCTACAACATATTTAGTAAAACAATAAATAAGAGAAAGGTCCAATAATACTTTAAGAAAGGTATTGGCAGTAGCAGGATACTACTGGGTTGGGGGTGGCAGGGGTGACACAACATCAATAGGGTACCTGATCTCAAATCAGGCAAAGTGGGGCCCAAAGGGAGGTTCAAACTTTACCTGTATGATGATCACTTGTATATCTAATCCTGAATTGTACCCCACATCTTTAAAATAAAAAAATTTTAAAAAATTTTTTAAAGAGAAAGGTTTATATAGATTAGTGGCATGGTCTTAATTGAAGATTCCCAGATATTTATGTTTATTTATTGTATGCATTTAACCAGTGTTTCTTTCAGTTCTACTGACCCATAACTGTTTAAGAGTGTATAGATTTTGATCCATAACTATTTAAGAGTATATACATTTTATTATTTACCACAAATATCTTAGAGAATGTCTTTCTCATTCTCTTTTTCATATTATTTTCTTCAATATCCATATATGCTTATATATTTTTTCTGCCTTAAATTATATTAGAATAAAACTGATTCTGCATGTCAATGGCAAGTTAAAGGACTGGTGTTTCATATCAATAAATGAGAAAGCAAGGCTATATCAGTCAAAAGAAAAGGGATAAAGATTTAATTATAATATGCTCTGGCAATATGTTAGATTCAATCAATGGTAACTATCTAAAACCTCCAAATTCCTTACTTCAGTACCAGTGATCTCCCTCAAGATATTGTTACCTCATAGTTATACAAGCCCACACAGTAATGTCTTCTTGGATGTCTGTAACAGACATGCACAGAATTTTCTATATTCAAGGACAATTACTAATTCCCTCTCTATAGAAAAGTCCCCCTCTACAGTATCCTTTCTATAAAAAGCTATATTGTATAGAGTTCTGATATAGCGGCAACCTGTTCTTCTCAAGTGGGTAATTTATTGATAAGTACTGATAAATTTTATTGATAAGCATTCTAAAGAAAAGTAATTAGGGACCATCTAGACCACTGGGCTAGTCCAGAAATCAGAGTTACAGTCAAGCCAGATAATTAAGGGCCCAAGGTAGATTTAATTCACTTGTTTGTGTTTGAAGGGGATTATCCAGTTTGACCCGCAACATTAGGCAAGGGTCACAAACTGAAATGCTTACAGACACCAAGTGGATCTCATAAGTGAGTAAAGCATATTTGTGCCAGAAGACAGTGAGAAATGGTAGCAATTATGAAAAATTACAGACCACATGACACATCTGAAGAAGACAGCTGTCTTTCAGGTCAGGCAGTTGTCGACATGTAGGAATTTGAGCACAAGATTGTCAGATATTCAATTTCTCAAAGAAAAGAATGTAGACTATAGGTGACTTGTCCTAATGTTTCTATTTGGAAACAAATCCATTACAAAAGAAAAGACTATGCATCTTATATTCAACTTTTGACTAATACCAATTTAATCAGACAAAACTATCTTCAGCATTAACCATGAATACACAACCAACTTGGCTCCCTGCTATGTGTCTGGTGTTAGAATTATATACTGTGAAGAAATTAACTTTATTATTATTTTTATCATGTGTATTCTAAATAAATCTTCTGCAGAATGGTTGGGCTAGGAGATCAATGACTACCTTCTTGCTCTTTTATTCTTAATAATTTTTCCTGATGAAAATACCAATATTTCCAGGGGAGTGTATTTTTTCCCAGTCAGTAAGCTCTTCTATAATTTAGTCAGCATGTCTACAAGTGTCTCAGTGGGATTGTTAGGCATTGACTAAAAGGACATTTGTCTCTCTTTGACTTTAAAAACAATGTCTTATCACCCTAACCAAGTTGTACCACCTCATTTTAGATAATAGGGCTAGGGAAAGTTAGATATTATTTTTTTGAAATATCTCATCCCTGCTGATTTTGGTTAAATAATTCCTAAGTCAAAAAAGAACACCAAAAGTAGGTAACTTTGCCTGCATTTTTGCAGAATTAAGAGCCTAAGATTGATTATAATCTGCATTTTCTTAGAGGAGTCACTGTAGCTTTTAATAGAACTATCTCTAGGATAAGTAATACAGTTAAAAAATGTGCTTTTATTATCCATCTTCTACCCCATAACCTACCCTACCGCCTTTCAACAACCTTTTTTGACACCAAGTTTCCTGTCTGGCAATAATAATAGACATAATAATGTGTATCACTTCTCCTGAAAACATTTCACTTTAACATGAGACTTTTAATTGGCATTCCTTTTCCAGAATGGAATATAACTTGAAAGCTAAAGTTTCTAATAGTATGGTGAGTAGCAAAGGGTTGGGGGCAGGAGGGAACAATGGGCTTCTTTCTGCGACTCTCCTAAATGAATATAGGACTTCGAAAATGACTGCCTACCTTCATGTAAATGAGGCTGACCCAGTGCTGAGTATCACTGCATTTTATATATACGATGTAGAGAGATCTGAATGTACCCATTCAGTCTCCTTGTTGTCAACCTCACCCAAGTTCCAAAGTCTCCCCTCCCTAGATGAAAAGAAATATACTCCAGAAATTTTTCACAGTGGTTATAAACCTGTCATGCTTTTAAACCAAAGACAATGAAGGAATAATTGGAACAGATGGCAGACCTCAGAAATAATACATCCATTGGGAATACAGCTGTTGGAAAAATTTGTGAGATGTTTCTTCTATGATGAATTGACTCTTTAAGAAAGATCAGTTGCTATTCATGAAGATCTGTGTGTATACATATCTATTTTTTCAAGTGACTTATCATAAATAATTCCAATGTCATTCAGTCTGTTTGAGCAACAACAACAAAAAGTGAAGTTAAAATATATTCAGATATTAAAAATTCTTTACACATTTCTTGTTTTGCCCCAATTGACTTCCTTAAGGATTCAAACTATGTTCCAGAATCAAAGATGAGCAAAGTTGGATCAGTCACAACAGAAAATTGAAGATTTTGCTTCTTAGAGACACTCAGGACAAAAGCTCTAGAAATGCATCTCCTGAGAGATTTAAAATAAAATGCCAAGAGAGCGAGAGCAATTAAGGTTTAAACAGGTTATAAGGAGGCCAGAAATTACCTTTCTTAGGGACCAACTTTAAACAGAAATCAAATTTCTATCTGTCTAAAATGTTTTCGGTATTGTGCAGCCTGGAGGCAGAAAAGAGCATCAGTCAACATTTACTGAGCACCCACTGTGTATACTACTAGGATTACTACTGCAATCGCTAACATAAGAATTATTCTTACACTCTTCAAAGCATTTTCATGTACATTAAAGCAGTGTTCCTGGTTCACTAAATTGCTCACCTGCTATGGGTATATTATGGTGCCGATTTTGATACTACCCATTATTCTTGGGATACCTAAAAAAATAGCCAATAACTTATAATTATTTTCAAGATCCATTTTTTTCACCAAAAATCCATACTCTTAGTTGATAAGCTATAATCTCACTCCAGAGTATTTTGCTCTTCTTTTAAACTTGCTTTGGGGTGCTGGCAATGATTTTGGAAAATCTTAGAAGGAAAATAAGTAACAAATGCCACAAATGTTAACCTTCTGTTTTTCTAACTTAAACCATGCCATAGGATATAAGGCATATGTGGGGGTGTGAGGGTTGTTATCAGAGAGGTTTCATGAAAATAACTGAGAAGTAAGAAGTCGGGAAAATTGAGTTTGATTCTTGGTTCAGTCAGCACCTATTAGTTTCACTCATACTTTCAAGTTCTAAATTTTTCCAATTTTAAAACAAGTGGACCATACTATATTATTCCCAAGATTTCTTCTGGGTCTAAGATGCCTCATTTATTAATTTGCTTCCACCAAGAAGAACTTTAAAGTTTGCATATAGAAAAGCCAAGGTGTACCACTTTTCTATTGAGTAGAAGAAATGCGATAAAATTCTTTGCATTCAAAGAGAAATTGAGTAAAAGAATCTTACTTTGTTTCTTCCTTTGCATTTATTAACAGGAATGTAGTGCTGAGAAGCTTTGCCTACAGATAGATATTGGCATTCTTTAATCTTTACATAATTAAAAGTTTAACATCATTATTAAAAGATAAAGTATAAATTATATCAATAAAATTCTTGTGAATTTTCCAAGAAGGGCTGGATGTTTGAATTATTTGAAACCTATGCTTAGGTTTATTTGAATAGGTGCATTAGTCAGTATGAACTAACAGCTATAACTGACATCCACAAATTTTCAGTCGCTTACACAGTCAGTGTATATTTCTTGATTATCTTGGGAATCAAGTTCCTTCTATTTTGTAGTTCCAACCATCCCTGGTGACCTGAAGGTCTTTTTTTTTTTTTTCTTGCTGTGTATTTGAGAAAAGGAAGACAAAGAAAAAGCAAAAGATGACATAAGACTGGAAATGTCATACATCTCATTAGCTCCCACTGGTCACATGACCATACTGAACTGTAAGAGAGAGTTGGAAATGTCTAGTTATCTCCTGCAGAAGAAAAGGAAATGGTACTGCTGGTTATCAAGCCAAACTCAGTTACACTATGAGACAACCAAGAGTCTAGAAAAAATAGAATCTAAATAATGAAATCTCTCACCATGGGAAAACGCTAATGACTAATGACAAACTCATCAGAAACAGAGAAATGTCACAGAATTCCTAGCTTAGTTTTCCTTATTTAAAAGAATCAAATGTCTGGACCAAAGTTAACCTCAACATGTCAGCTATCCTCTTTCCAATTATTTAAAGTCCTCAAAACGTAAGATTGAACTTTCCTGATCTTTGCTGGTGGATTTGTGGATTGAGGTTTTACAACAGCTGTAAGGTAGTTACTGCCAAGATAAAAATACTTCTTGATGTCTCCTTCAACATTTTGGTGACCAGTACTCAAATTATTTCACTTCCAGGCTCTCCTTATCGGGATAAAATTACAATTGCAATTCTTCAACTCCAAGAAGAAGGGAAGCTGCATATGATGAAAGAGAAGTGGTGGCGTGGGAATGGCTGTCCCGAGGAAGACAACAAAGAGGCCAGTGCTCTAGGAGTGGAAAATATTGGGGGCATCTTCATTGTTCTAGCTGCCGGGCTGGTCCTTTCTGTATTTGTAGCTATTGGAGAATTCATATACAAATCACGGAAGAACAATGATATTGAACAGGTGAGTCATCTCTTTCTAGGACTGGGTAATTTTTAGTTTGCATTATCTGCCTTAAGTTTGAGGGTTTTAAATGATACCTGCCCTTTTTTGGGGGTGGTAACAGTCTATTGAATTAGCTGCCCAGAAGAGCCATTTTTGAGTTAGAGCAAAGAGCTATTGAATCCCTGCCAGGTGCTGCAGGCATTGCAGCTCCGTCATTTATTAATGTGAAGGAAGAGTCTTATGCACTAAATCCAATTAGTGCTATTTGGAATGACAGTGCAGAAATTCCAAACTCAGTTAATTTCTTGAACAGCTATTTGCTCTTAAGATAGAAACCCTGGATAGAACAAGGAAGAAACAAATCCAAAATTGGAAAAGATATAAAAAGATATTTGAAAGAAATGTTTCCAGCCCTTAAGTGTAAATTCTGAGCACATGTGCTAATGCAAAACAATTTATATAAAGATATAAAAACAGTATTATAAGATTAAGCATTTACTTTTATCAAAGTATGATTTGTAAAATGACAATTGACCCCAAATGCATTTTTTGCCAGAAACATGATAAATAATACAAAATGATAATGCAACATATTTAAGACTTTACTTTTAAAATTGCATTTAGAATTATAGGATAATTTCAATAGTCGATCATTTTTGCCTATGACCTTTATTTTTTAGGGATATTACACCAGGAACTTACACTCTTTCAAAAAGCAAATCATGACTTAAAATAATTCCTCCATAAACATACTTGAATAAACAAAATACAAAGCTTATGGGCACTGCAGTGCTTTTAGGCCACTGATTCAATTCTAAAATGCCATTAGAATTTTGAGAAAATGAGGTAATAATAACAACCAGTTCAATACTCTGTTATTATTATCTTGAAATCCTAAAAATTTTTTTAACAACGGGTCTCACATTTTCATTTTGCACTGGCCCTGCAAGTTATGTGGCTGGTTCTAATACTAGACCCACTTCCCTTAAATGGAAGCCCTCCTTGAGTACCCAAAACTGGGAATGACGTATTATAACCTGGTTTCGCAATAAAATCTTCCCTAGAATTACAGGGCGACTGTGACAGTAATGAGCATTCCTTTCCTAGATGTGGTTATAGAAAACTGTTTTTAAATAAAAGGGAAAATGGGCTGATCTGCTTTGTTTTAACTTCAATTTGCTCTTGAGGTGTCTTGTTTTATGTTACTAATTTGATAAATAAAAGCTTGTATATATTATGCTTTAATGTGCTTCTCATAGTTGCCAGCTTCATGTGATTTAAATTTTCATTTAAACATTCATTCTTGCTTCTGATTTATTCATTTTTTAATATTTTTTTCTCATTTCTTTTGCATGCAAGGCTTTTTGTTTCTTTTATGGACTGCAATGTAAGCAAACCCATCCAACCAACTCCACTTCTGGAACCACTTTATCTACGGATTTAGAATGTGGCAAATTAATTCGAGAGGAGAGAGGGATTCGGACACAGTCCTCAGTTCATACTGTGTAATCAGTTTTGTTTTGTTTTGTTTTTTAAAAAAGGTGTGCCCAGTAGAAATTGTTTCTGCTAATTGGTGTTGTTGATGCTATCTGTATCTGCTAAGCATAAATAGCCGTAATTCCCTGTTTGTTTAAGATAGCAAAGCTCATGTATTCTAGACATTGAATTCAATGCACTGGAAACAGATGTGCACTGTATGCTGAAGACGGGGCATATTAGGGAGATACAACTCCTAGATATGTGTACTTGCAGGAATCTACTCTGTCATCTTCATTCTATCCTCATGCACTAAAAATGAGTGACTCTTTCCTCATGAAAAAGGAGATTCAGATTCTCAACAGTGCAAAGCATAAACACAAAATGCTAATTCTGTGAACTTCTTTTCATCTTTGTGAACTTTTTTCCTTCTTCTTTCCTTCTCTCTGTCCCAAACATAGTATAGATCCACAGATATTCAAACTAACACCCTATCTTTTCAGTACGACGTACATAACTTCATGACAATGTTAATTTTCAATTAAAATTGAGTCCACTACTTAAAATGCATTATTTACCCCAAAGACTCAACGTCTTAGATTTAAATGATTCAAAAACCATGATCTAGAGAAAGAGAAAGAAAACTAAACTTGAAATCTCTGGTGTCACAGAAGAGCATTAGCTAAGTTGAACATCACTCACGAACATAACATAGAATGATTCCTGGGCAGAAATTCAATAACATCAAGCTCTCAAATAACAGTTATTTGTAGAATGCAATAATCTTCCATAGATTCAGAGCGTCTAAGGAACTGTGATCTTTTTCAAGCCATATATATATACATATATATATATATGTATATATATATATATATATATGAGATACAAGCAAGGTCCTAAGGTATGAACTAATCCATAGCATCTTCTATTTACCTCTCACTCGCCCTCTGTCATGCATTGATGAACGTCTTTCCATGTTCTTTCCTTTCCCACCCATACACCCAGGATATAGTGGCTGTTCTAGGAGCAGTCTCTTCTGAACAGTGTCACTTTCCCACTCATGTCTCTGGATCTGTCATCATCATTAATCCATTCCAAGTATGTTGAGAAAATGGACAGGAAAGAAAAATAAATAAAAGAAAGAATTTTCATACACATTAGTTACAAACCTCTGTAATTTATTCTCCACCTGCACTCACAGTGTTGTAAATAATTCCCACTGTAATTCAACTTGGCAAACATAGAAAGCCACCTGCATATTTAATTTATTGTGACAGAGAGTATCTGCTAGCTCTTTTGGGCTTGTATCCTCTTCACAGTGAATAGGGAACTTGAAGATATGTCTCAACTTCCCTCAATATGGCATCAGTTGATCTTTATTCTTTGGGATTATCTTTTGGCACATCAAGTGATCCCTTAAAGCACATTCCCAGGAAATAGAGATGTACCTTCTCTACAGTCATATGGTATTTTGTCTTCTCTTTTCTTAGCTTTAAATGGGTCCCAATTTCCAAATCACAAGTCTCTCCAATCAACCTTGTTTCTCCAGTAAAGCGTATTCAGGAAAGTTGACTCTTGTCCTGATTGTTTCTCAACCTTACTCCTTTTTTAAAATAAATATACGCTAAAGAAAATACTTGTAAATTACACTAATAATGTATTACTGTTATTATGGTGGAAGTGATATATTTGTCCCAGTTCAGGGTTCACATTTTCATAATCAACAGAATCAGATGTTAAGATAAATGTTACATTAGTCTTAGTTTCATATTTCATTGATACAGTACATAGAAACCACAGATTACATAAGTTTGCTTCCCCAAGGATAATTTAATAAACCAAAATGTTACCCAGAAAGTTCAAGTGAGATTGATGAAGTATAGATAATTAGGGTTAACAATAACTAACTAAATTTGCCTTTCTATAAAGGCAGTCCTTTAAAAGTATAATTCAAAGATTTGGATAAAGAAAGTATCCCTTTCAAAAATTAATATTTGTGTATCACTTTAGACTGTAAACTACCTAATTCTAATACTTATATACTATTTTATAGTTTTCAAAATGTTTTGAAATTCTGCATTACATTTGATCCTTTCAACAATTTTAATTTTGCTTTAGTTACAAAGAAATAGATATCAGAGTAAGTAGCATAGAGTCATAGACTTAAGAAGCAGATGAGAATGTTCTAAACCAGCAAACTTAGGTTAAAGTTCTAGTAGCACCACATGCTGAATGACTGTAGGCAAGTTACCAAGTTTCTCAGAGTTTTGGTTTCCTGATATTTGATACTGGCACAAAATTCCTAGAACATAAAATTCTGAAGGAGCGTTTTTCAAAATGAGTTCCACTGGTAAGTATTTCTCAAATAAGATTTTCATAGTTACATGATCCATCAATTATTCTTTTACTACATGATACCTCCATGTGTTTTTTAATACGTTTTAATGCATTGAGAATTTTAAACAAGGTGGAAAAGTGTTCAGCATTATTCTAGACTATTAGATCACAAAAGTTTTTTTCTCTAAAGCATCTTGACAGACCAGTGTTCCCCAGATCATCCTCTAGGAAACACCAATATAATCACGTGTATCTCATTCCGGGATAATGTGCAAAACATCTTGCGTTGTGCCTGGCACATAGAAGCCACTCAATAAACAATTATTTATTATTTGGAGTAAACTTCTGAGCCTCACTTTCCTCATTTGTAAAGTGAAGACAATATTATAGACTTTATAAATTAACTATGACAAGTGAAATCGTGGCATAGACAATGAAATCATTTATAAAAGTCCTGTTAATATCAGTTAATAAATTTTGGTTCCTTTTAGAGAAACTGAGTATTAATCCTTGGTCACACAGGCTGTAAATAAATGTATCAGCACTTTAAAAATTTTCTAATTTGGCGGCTGAAACGCTAAGACCAACTTTTTTACACAAGCATTACAAATCAATGGCAAAAGTCATTGCACTCAAGAAAAGAACCCAAAGTGCAATGCTTAAGGAACTGTAGTGAAAGTTCTGAACCTTATCTCTAGAAATTCTGATTTCATTAGTCTAGAGTTGGGGCAGGACAACAGTATTATTTTTTTCAGATTCTGTTGATTGTAATGTACAGGAAAAGCTGAGAACCAGTGAGCTAATACATAAATTTATGCATATTAATTGGAACTCAAAAAATAATTTTTGTTAATTAATTGATTGATTCTAGAGGTGGGGTCACTAATTCCAAGCAATATGTATAATATATATTAGCATTCAATATTCAATAGACCCTTTACACTGAAAAATTCGAGAAGAAACTGTACATCTTTGAAATGAAAATTTCATGATATTCCATTGGTAGTCTTTATGATTAACTGTAAAACATAGAACTAGCCCCACTCAGGATTATCAAATAGAGAGTTTATTGCTCTCTCAGCCAGCCCTTTCCTCTATTCGTTGTAAGTACTTAGGTTCTTTGCGCTCTCCTCTTCTTCCTTTCTTACTGACTCTCAGATAACCAGTTGTTGCCATCATGTCCATGGGCGCTAAACTACAGTGAC